AACAGTGAAATCCTTGCTGATCTTAAACACAAAAAAGAAGCTTACAAGAAGTAGAAGATTGGACAAATGACCAGGGAAGAGTATAAAAATATTGCTCGGGCATGCAGGAGTGAAATCAGGAAGGCCAAATCACACCTGGAGTTGCAGCTAGCAAGAGATGTCAAGAGTAACAAGAAGGGTTTCTTCAGGATTGTTAGCAACAAGATGTGGAAAAAGCTAATGTACTCAATGCTTTTTTTGCCTCTGTCTTCACGAACAAGGTCAGCTCCCAGACTGCTGCACTGGGCAGCACAGCATGGGGAGGAGGTGACCAGCCCTCTGTGAAGAAAGAAGTGGTTCAGGACTATTTAGAAAAGCTGGACGAGAACAAGTCCATGGGGCCGGATGCGCTGCATCCGAGAGTGCTAAAGGAGTTGGCGGATGTGATTGCAGAGCCATTGGCCATTATCTTTGAAAACTCATGGTGATCGGGGGAGGTCCCGGATGACTGGAAAAAGGCTAATGTAGTGCCCATCTTTAAAAAAGGGAAGAAGGAGGATCCTGGGAACTATAGGCCAGTCAGCCTCACCTCAGTCCCTGGAAAAATCATGGAGCAGGTCCTCAAGGAATCAATTCTGAAGCACTTAGAGGAGAGGAAAGTGATCAGGAACGAACAGTCAGCATGGATTCCCCAAGGGCAAGTCATGCCTGACTAATCTAATTGCCTTCTATGACGAGATAACTGGCTCTGTGGATGAGGGGAAAGCGGTGGACGTGTTTTTCCTTGACTTCAGCAAAGTTTTTGACATGGTCTCCCCCAGTATTCTTGCCAACAAGTTAAAGAAGTATGGACGATAAGGTGGGTGATGGAATAAGGTGGATAGAAAGCTGGCTAGATTGTTGGGCTCAACGGGTAGTGATCAATGGCTCCATGTCTAGTTGGCAGCCGGTATCAAGTGGAGTGCCTCAAGCGTCGGTCCTCGGACCGGTTTTGTTCAATATCTTCATAAATGATCTGGAGGATGGCATGGATTGCGCCCTCAGCAAGTTTGCAAACGACACTAAACTGGGAGGAGAGGTAGATACGCTGTAGGGTAGGGATAGGATACAGAGGGCCCTAGACAAATTAGAGGATTGGGCCAAAAGAAAACTGATGAGGTTCAACAAGGACAAGTGCAGAGTCCTGCACTTAGGACGGAAGAATCCCATGCACCGCTACAGACTAGGAACTGAACGGCTAGGCGGCAGTTCTGCAGAAAAGGACCTAGGGGTTACAGTGGACGAGAAGCTGGGTATGAGTCAACAGTGTGCCCTTGTTGCCAAGAAGGCCAATGGCATTTTGGGATGTATAAGTAGGGGTATTGCCAGCAGATTGAGGGATGTGATCTTTCCCTCTATTCGACATTGGTGAGGCCTCATCTGGAGTACTGTGTCCAGTTTTGGGCCCCACACTACAAGAAGGATGTGGAAAAATTGGAAAGAGTCCAGCAGAGGGCAACAAAAATGATTAGGGGACTGGAACACATGACTTATGAGGAGAGTCTGAGGGAACTGGGATTGTTTAGTCTGTGGAAGAGAAGAATGAGGCGGGATTTGATAGACGCTTTCAACTACCTGAAAGGGGGTTCCAAAGAGGATGGATCTAGACTGTTCTCAGTGGTAGCAGATGACAGAATGAGGAGTAATGGTCTCAAGTTGCAGTGGGGGTGGTTTTGGTTGGATAGTAGGAAAAACTTTTTCACTCAGAGGGTGGTAAAGTATTGGAATGTGTTATCTAGGGAGGTGGTGGAATCTCCTTCCTTAGAGGTTTTTAAGGTCAGGCTTGACAAAGCCCTGGCTGGGATGATTTAATTGGGGATCGGTCCTGCTTTGAGCAGGGAGTTGGACTAGATGACCTCCTGAGGTCCCTTCCAACCCTGATATTCTATGACCTCCACATTTTTGGTATTGCAATTCATTCTACCTGGGGATTTCCTTAAGGACACTAGGGAAGCTTCAGTTGATGCAAATCAGCTGTCATTTGCATCATATAATCAGCCACAGGAATCTTTTCTCAGGAAGCAAGTGCTTTTCATTTACAAATATATTCTACTGATTTCTGGTCTGCATCTCCAGTGAATCTCTGAATGAACCTCAAAGATTTTCTCTTGAGATATCTGACCACTTCTGACCCACAGTGCATCTGCATTTCAGTGCTGGATTCCTCCCAGACAACACCCTCTATTCTGTGCTAAATTAGACTGGTTTTGACAAACAGCTGCTAGGGCAGTGACAGATTAACTCTGGTGCCCTGGGATGAGACTAAAAATGCATCTCGTCTTCCCCCTGCAGTCTACAGGAAGTTAGAAACACACCTATGCCTTGGTGGGCTGTATAGGACATTGGAGCTTAACTCAACAGACAATCACACATCATAGTATATGTGAAAATGGACCCAGCGCTCAAGTTATCAAACAATTTCCAGTGGGGCCTACAGCAAAATGAACAAGAATAAATAAAGGACACATGGAATGACTTACGCATATTACTTTTTCTTTTTTGTTTTCCCCTAGCTACAGACCACGGGTAAATACACCACTAGCTTGGAGACTGAGCTGAAATCATTATGTTTACAACCTAAAATAGATTATGTGGTTTTTTTTGTTTTTCAAATTAAATGATGTGATAAGCACCTTTCAGGAGTCGGGGACTTGAACACTAGGTGTTCTCAGAATGTCTTGCTGCACATTAGTCTGTTTAAAATATATGTAAGCCATTGGGTCATTAATGTGACTGGCGAATTAGCAACAGACAGGCAAAATGTAGTGAGTCAATTAATGCATTGAACCATGGAGGAGATACTGACTTTAGCTAAAATTGATCACTTGTCTGTGATCAAAGTCTTTAGCCAGCAATTAGGTCCTTTGTTTGACGTTTATACTTGGGGAAGATTTATTATGCCAGAAGAATTTTTCTAGTCTTGGTCAAAAAAAAAAAAATTAAAAAATTGTTCTTGAGCACTGGTCAATCCACCGAGATACTGCTCTGGAAATATTTGGGTTTATAAAGAGGCTTTACTCTAATTGTGTGGTGTAGAACTCTTTTCTCTTGTCCGTAGTGGATAATGTCCCTCCCAGAAAACAAAACTATTGTTCAAAAGATCCCTGCAAATATGTGCAAGAATAAGTTGTTTTAAAATAAATAAAAGTATATGTTAGTCGATATGTACAAGGAGCCTGTTTCTCCTCTGATGTATGTTGGTTTTACCCCAGTAAAAGGCCATTTACTTCTGCAGAGTTGCACCTGTCTTACACTAGTGTGAGATGAATCAGACCTTTTAAGGCATTTCTACTATTATTGTGTTTGTTACTCTTATGTCCCAGGGTTGAAGAGAAGCACCTTAAATCAAAGCACTGAGACTTGATAATGAGAGTAGGTAAACTATGGGCTTTCTCAATAATGCTCACAATGGAAGCTCTGTGAATAAGCATGCCAAGTCCTCTCCTAATGTTTACAGGATTGTTTTAAAAAACCTGGGGTGGATTTTCTAGGAATAGTTTCTTCTTTGGTTGTTCCAAAGCCATGGTCAGGATATTAGAGTGGATGTCCTCAGGAATCATAGAATCATAGAATATCAGGGTTGGAAGGGACCTCAGGAGGTCATCTAGTTCAACCCCCTGCTCAAAGCAGGACCAATCCCCAATTAAATCATCCCAGCCAAGGCTTTGTCAAGCCTGACCTTAAAAACTTCTAAGGAAGGAGATTCTACCACCTCCCTAGGTAACGCATTCCACTGTTTCACCACCCTCCTAGTGAAAAAGTTTTTCCTAATATCCAACCTAAACCTCCCCCACTGCAACTTGAGACCATTACTCCTTGTCCTGTCCTCTTCTACCACTGAAAATAGTCTAGAACCATCCTCTCTGGAACCACCTCTCAGGTAGTAGAAAGCAGCTATCAAATCCCCCCTCATTCTTCTCTTCTGCAGACTAAACAATCCCAGTTCCCTCAGCCTCTCCTCATAAGTCATGTGTTCCAGACCCCTAATCATTTTTGTTGCCCTTCGCTGGACTCTCTCCAATTTATCCACATCCTTCTTGTAGTGTGGGGCCCAAAACTGGACACAGTACTCCAGATGAGGCCTCACCAATGTCGAAGGACAGTGCAGTTAGGTAGGATTAACATTTCAGAGTAGCAGCCATGTTAGTCTGTATTTGCAAAAAAGAAAAGGAGTACTTGTGGCACCTTAGAGACGAACCAATTTATTTATTTATTGTAGCTCACAAAAGCTTATGCTCAAATAAATTGGTTCGTCTCTAAGGTGCCACTAGTACTCCTTTTCTTTTTTGTAGGATTTACATTGTTACTACTTTTCTTTTTCAGTAACTTGTTTTGTCCTTTTTCATTCTAGGTGTATTTTCACATTTGGTTTTGGGTACAGTGACTGAGATTTTCAAAACTTGCTGTAACATGTTAACATGTAGTTGGAAAAAGCTAAAAATCAAATATATCCCCAAGTAATGTTGGTCCCGATCCTGTAAGGTGCTGAGCAATCTCATTTTAAGCCGTTCCGTTCATGGGATAACTTCTCAATCAAGCACTGAGTTTTGCTCACTCATTTTGGTGTGCAGTAGATTTTTGCTCTTTAATGCTACCCTTTGAAAATATAGCTGCATGTATACATACTGGATGCATATTACATTGCACACACAAATGCAAGATGCATATGAAAATTTTCACATGCAATGTAGTGTTTTGTGTGCTTTCCTCAAGCTCATATTTTTGGAAATGTTGCTTGTACTGTGCATATTAAACATCATCCTAGGTGTTTTCAAATGGCTCTGTCTTATCTTTCTCAGAAAAAGCTCTAGTCAGAGATTAAACAAAGAAAAACACAGATCCTGACATTTATGTTTTGTCCATATAGGTCGAGATCTAACCATTGCAGGACAGGCCGTTCTATCAAAAAAACAATCATTCATACTTTCACTGACCTGTAGCACTCTATATTTAAAAATAAAAAAAGACCAAAGAAGACAGAATATTTTTGCCTTTAGATTTTATTAAAATACAAGAAAAAAAAACAAATCTAAAAAGCACACATTCCACAGAGCACCAATATTATAACACATTTTTGCTGGTTCTCCTATGAAGTATATTTCTGACATCTAAACAATGATGCACACACAAACACGTCTCTACCCACAGCACTCAAATGAATGGACATCAAGCAGACCCTCCAAACAGAGACAGCAAAACGCAGAAAGAAATACCAGTGTGATGGCATCTGAACGCCAACGGAGTTAGTTACTCTTTTGTTAGCGGTCTTCATGAGCACACTAGCATCCCTACCTTGCCTTCATCCCCCATCTGTACAGCCCAGAATTCAGGCCTGTAGTTTGCTGCATATGGGTCGTGCATTGATATGGTGTAGAGTCGAACAAAACTGGCCATTATTCCCTACCTGATACCTCTTTTATTGCTTTGGTTATAGTACTGAATGTGTTAAAAATCTTAATCCTACACCCAACAACATATAAAGATCTCACACACACCACTGAGACATTTTTAAGAAGCTTCGTGGATTTCTCCATCTAGACAACCTTCAGAAGAATAATCGCCTTTAGCCTTTCGAAGTCCTTAGCGCAGCTGTTCAGTGACATACATTTTGCCATGCATTTTTCCTTTTTAAATGTGCCGGGCCTGATCCTCCACTGCCTTTCACCTTGTGTCATCATTTACACAAGTACAAAGGAGGAGCAAAAAGCTATCATTCTGGTGGTGTCACTTACACTTATTTTGCAATGATACAAGGCAAACGTCTGTTGAGAATCAGGTCCAAAGTGACTCTGCAGGCATGCTAGGATATTTTTTAAAACAGTTAACAATCCCCAGCTACTGTCAAGAGATAGCACTGAATTCCCTATTCTGTGCAGTGACTTTCTGGAATATTTTCAGGCTCCAGCCTCTTCTGTGAATTCTATTCAACTTCAGAATGTAAGATTTGCCATACTGGAATAAACAATAGTTATTCTGGTCCAGCAGATGCCTTGTTTAAAGGTACAGACAAAGGTAAACCCAACCTCACAATGCACCTGGCCAATTATGCATAATTATGCCAATTATCCCAAGTTAGTAACAAAATTCCTTCCTGACTCTACCTAGCAATCAGTTTACAGCCTAATGACTTTTAATTTTTTTTAATCCTGCTAACATAACTTCAGAAGTTAATCTTACCCATATGTGTCTATTTGTATCATTAATGGTGACATTATTTCATCAATTTTTAAACCTTTTCTAAAAGTTGTGCCCTTTTATATCACCAAAAAATTAAAGGAATTGTATTCAATGTTTCTATTAATCACTTATAAAAAAGAAAACACCTTCTTCTCTTTAGCTCATTTATTTTCTATTGAAAATATCCCCCTCTGCTGTTTGGCCATATGTCTTCTGGAGGGATCAAACCAATTTACAAAATGTATCCCTGTAATGATAACCACAGAGGTTGCCAGCATCTTTGCATTTTGGCCAGGGTCAGAAATTCATGTTGCCAAGAAAGAAAGTTCTGATCCTTGAGGATTGTCTATTTACAGAAGCCAGTTTTATAATCTCCTTGCTGTGCAATGAAAACCCATCTATGAATAACAAGATACTGCACATGAGAGAGTGACAAAATAGTAGAAATCCAAAAAGGAGAAAAAAAGCTATGCAAAATTACGGTGACTTTAGCTATGCAAAGGAGTATTAGAGTTATTAATTCAGACTCCTTCTTGTGATTTTAAGATATGTTTCAACAGTCATATTAGACACTTGGGTTGGCATTTCACAGACAGACAACATAGACAATGCTAAAAGCCCCAGATTGAAGAAAGAAAGAAAGAAAGAAAGAAAGAAAAGTTTAAGCTTTACAAGGCACATCGGGTTATAGCCTGAAGCAGTTATGGAATGATATCTGAAGAATGGGATAGAAAATAACATTGAAAATATTACATTATTATATATACCCACTGCATGTCTTCATCTGGAATACTATTTTCAGCTCTGGTCACCGCTACCTGAAAAAGGTATAGTTAAGCAAAAACAGAAGGAGTCCAGAAATGGGAGGAAATGATAAGAGATATGGACCCATATGAGGGAATTGAAAGATTAGGCTTGTTTTGTTTAAAAAGGACACAAATAAGACTTGCATCAAAAGTATACAAAATAATAAATGGCACACAGAAGGAAAATTGGGTGCCCCTATTTACTCTGTCTCATAATACAAGATCAAGGGGAAATTCAATTAAATTGAAAGGCAACAAATTTGATAAAAGGATTTAAAGCAAAATAAAACACAGGATGTATTTTGATCATCCGGTTCACTGCCACAAGACATAATTGAGCTCAAATTCTTCATAGAATTCCCAAAAAGGACTGGGCATATATATGGATAATGAGGACATCTGCAGTCACACTCGAAAGGATGACAGGTTTCAGAATGGTAGCCATGTTAGTCTGTATCAGCAAAAAGAATGAGTAGTCCTTGTGGCACCTTAGAGACTAACACATGTATTTGGATGCCACAAGGACTCCTCTTTTTTTTTTTACTAGGAAGGATAAAACTTATAAGGGCACAAGCCAATCATTAACTGTCTGTGGTTACGAACAAGTAACTCCTGTGGACAGGTTACTTCAGAATGGTCCAGCATAGGGATTCTTGCACCTTCTTTTAAAGCATCTGGACGCTATTGGAGATAGGATACTGCACTAGATGAACTAGTTATCTGATCCAGTAGGAAATTCCTATGTTTCTGTGTTCATAGGTTTAAGGTGGCTCTCCCACACAGTCATACAAATGTGTAGCAATCTACCGTAATAATTGGTAAGTCATGACCACTTCACTGAATGGTCTGAAAAGTCAGGCTTCGATACCAGAAGGTGGACATTGGAGGAGATGAATATTCAGCCTACATTTTCCATTATTCATTTTTTTCTTCTTACCTCTTACTAAATACCCTTGGCCCACCCTAAAGACGACAACGGTGTATGTCATCTTCCCTTTTACCCCCCCTCATCACAAATTACTTAGAGCAGTTATGAAATCTTGAAATACAGGAGTACCATGCTTTTCCGTCCACCCAGCTGAACTTGGCTCTCTGAAGTCCATTCCCCGCCAGTTTCTCTGGGATGCGTTACCAAGGTTTGTGTATGCATCCAGGGGGAGGCATGAACCTGGATGCATAAGAAATCACACTCACACAGCTGTCAAAATGTCATGTCTGTGCTTCAAAGAGCCAGATTTTTTAAAAAATGCCATGTGAATTAGCTGAATTGACTCACACCAAAACAAAAGGAAATATGCCATGTGTGATTAAAGGGACACTGTAAAATAGAAATTTCTCTTTTTTTTTTTTTCAGTTCATCCCTGTATTTGTACTAACATCTCAGATGATTGGCAGGGTACGAGATTTAATATTCTTCTTTAATTTTCCCCACTTTATGCTGTTTGCTTCTTTTGCATTTCTCTCAGCTTGGACTGTGAAACTAGGCTGGTCAGGTTCACTCTTGTAATTAGTCAGTTTCACTTCCCAGTTTTCATGTACTAGCACAATGGAAGCATGTGTTAGGTTTTGTAAAATCCTTTAATTTTTTACAAAACCTCAACATATTTAAGGCCTAGACTAAGTTGACAGTGTCTCTTTAAATATACTTCGGAATATTCCCCTCAGCCATTCTTGAGAAACCCAGCCATTTGTTACAATTGTTCTTGATAATTCACTCAGTTCATCCTTAACCTCTTCAGAGAAATAAGGTGGTGACTGTGAGACCAGCGTGGTGGGTTTTTTTTTTTTTCCCGAAAGGCTTCTGAGAAGAAGAAAGAAACATGAACAAAATGCTATCCTGCCCAACAGAATTGCAGTTACTGAGGCTAAAGACTGTTTAACTTTCCAATGAACTAATATGGCTGTAAACTAAATGCAGGCATTTAGGATAGCAAAAATTAACTTGAGCACTTTAACAGGGTAATCAACTGGACAGGTTTCAATTCCAATGAGGTAAACTGGTGTGTAAGTCCCCCCTGCTCAAAAATATGCCTGCTATGTCAAAAGAAATAAATTACTTTTACTAAAATAAACGCAAAATAACCCCTAATTCTCTCTCTCTGCTGTTTCTGTTTAAGAAAGAAAAAGAAGAAAGCACTGATAAATACATTTTTTCAGTTCCACATATTGAAGGCTGGCATCAGCTGAACTCTTCTTTCTTGCCCTGGGCATGAACTATGCGTGTGTATATATGTGTGTGTGTGTTCGTGACAAACCATCCCACTTTCTGAATTTTCAAAGGCAAAAGTTATAGTTTTATTACACAATCTCTGTTTCTTTCTCCCTCACTCCTTTGATCTTAGGATCTTGCAGCCTCTTTCCTCTGTATCCTTCTTCTCCCCCCCACCCATCACCTCTTTCCTTCACTCTCTCTCTCACAGTGGTGACCAATGTGCAGCCTGAGAACCAAATGCAGCCTATGGAGTTTTATGGTGTGGCCTGCTGCCAATTTAATTGTTAACATACAGAGGCCTAAGAGTGTGTGTATGTGTGTGTGTACTGTACACACACACAACTGAGAGAAGCTACCTGTAGAGAGTACCAAGAACCACATACAATGTTTCATCTTGTACTGAGCAGGCAGTTTGCACTGCATGGTGGATCTTGCACTCTCTGCTGGGTCATACTTCTGTATCAAAACAGGAAGGCAGCCATAATCCACTCCATTTTTTGCAAATTAATTGAAGGTCTCAGGCTGCTGGCAAGCTGCCTACACAGGTCTCAATGGAAAAATGAGATGGTCCCTGATCAAATACATGAGGTTGCCTCTCCGCAGAATCGCCTTCCAGGAAGCAATGCTTTCTTCTCAACCTAAAGTCAACATGTTGTGAAAAGGGTGGGAGAGAAATCTCATCCCACCACCTTTCATGCTCAGCACCAGCACTTTTCACAGTGGCCTTTTCTGTCCTGTTAACAAGGCAGGAGTAGGGTTGTCTCACACAATTCTCTTTTTATGTGCTGGGTTTATTTTTTTTTTTCCTAGCTTGCATTCATTTGACCTTATTATTGAACCTGTTCTCCTGCAACAGGCCCAAAAAGACCTATTGTAAAACTGTGTGTTTTTTTCCCTTTTATATCACTTTAAAGGGGCAAGGCTCTTGACACACTTCGCTCATCTTAGGCTGGATTTCATCTCTTGCTGAAGTTTTGCTCCAGCCAAAGCCGGACTTCCTGGAGGTTGTAGAAAAAGGGGCCCTTGCCCCCCAGGTAGGCAATTTTCTGTCTCTGCACAATGCACACTCGCTCGAAGGAGACCCCATAGGCCACATTGGCATTATTGTCCATGCAGTCAGCTACCACTTGGCACTGGGGTGGCAAGGAAAACCGTTCCAGAAGCTGGTGAGCGGCAGCACATCGGTCTTCCTGGTTCCTGTGTTTCCTCACCTCAAATGAGGAGGAAGAGATCCCAGGGGCGGCCCAGCCATCCGATGGGTGAGCCTCATCAATGTAGACCAACAGGAAATCAGCCACACCTGAGAACTCCTCCACCAGCTTGCCGAAGGCCGACAGCTGGCTCGTGAATGGGGGTCAGGTGGCTGAACCAAAGTTAACCACCAGCGGGCGCTCTGAATTGACAAAGTCCAGAAGGTGGCACTTGGTTCCATATTTCCCGCCAACACTTTTCCTTCTGATACTGCTGCTGCTGCAGCCATTAGCTATGTGGATCACATTGGAGTTTGGGGCTTCTCCTCCCAATTTCACCTGATGGCAAAACAAATAAAGACATGACGAGTTACTGTGACTTGCTTCCACAGTGTCTTTCATGTTCACTCTCACTAAACAAACACAGTCAGCTGTTCAGACAACACAGTGTACTCCCTACACAGAAAATGCTGCAAAGTTCCTGGTTTTAAGCAAATGATCTGTATAAGACCAGTGTCTTCTCCCATTGCTGTGTTTCTCCTGAAGCAGCATGAGGAGAGAAGAGAGTGTCTAGTGTCTGAAGGAGGTGGATGGTAGTTAGGTGTTCATGGCCTTATCGCTAGATCTGACTCTGACTCACTGTGTGATTGTGGGAAAGTCCTTGCACCCATCAGTGCCTCAGTTTTCCCATCTATAAAATGGAGATAATATGTATGTATCACACAAGGGTGTTGTGAAGATTGACTAAAGACTAAAAGGTGCTCTGAAAGATGTTATGGAATTACAAAGTACTATACTATACTATAAAAGACAATTAATAAGTCCAGGCACTGCAACTCCTGCACATCTCTCCTTGGCATCAAGCTCTATAACAACACCGTAATTGTCTTTTTATTTCCCTGCCAATGTTTCTCTCTTCTCATCTCCTGCCTATCTCATGATGTTCAGAAATAAATACTGTTTTGATTGAATTCATATAGGGCCAAATCCTGAGGTCCTAATCCAGACTGTATTCAGAAAATACACTCTTACTGAAGCTAGCGGGAGTTTCAATTGAGTAAGAACTCTAAGGACTTCTGAATTTGGCCCACAGAGGTCATCACAGATTTTACTACCAAGCGTTGCCTCCTGAAAAGCCAGAACCAGTAAGAACCAGAGTTGAAAGCAGAATGCTCAGCTGATGTGGGGAAAAATCTTCTCCATTACAGCTAAAATCCAGCAATGAGCACATTGTAGGTACAGGGATGTCCACCTCTTCACCTGAAACCTAACTGTCCCTCATAATTATATGATCATTCATGGTTCAGTTTCACTTTCTCAAAGGGTAATTGACACTGAACCTGTTCTTCCTTTCCCCTAAAAAGAAAAGGAGTATTAGTAGCACCTTAGAGACTAACCAATTTATTTGAGCATAAGCTTTCGTGAGCTACAGCTCACTTCATCGGATGCATTCAGTGGAAAATACAGTGAGGAGATTTATATACACACAGAACATGAAAAAATGGGTGTTATCATACACACTGTAAGGAGAGTGATCACTTAAGATGAGCTATTACCAGCAGGAGAGCGGAGGGGAGAAAACCTTTTGTAATGATAATCAAGGTGGGCCATTGACTCTCTCTTCAAGATTTTCAATCTCTTCAACAGATTTTATGGGAATTTTTACTGTTGTATTTAATGCTACTGGAACATATAGCTAATTAAAGAAGTTCCCAACGTGCCTGTGAGGTAGATGGGCCTCATTTTGCCCAAATTTTTTCAGTTTTACTTTGGAAAAATATTATGAATGAACATTTTTTGACCAGCTTTATACTCATCAATACATTTGAGGAAAACCACAATCTGCTTATGAATATTATGTGGGCGGAAAAAGAGGCTATATTCACTGAGTAAATTCCTCTTTCCCAACTCTGCATTCAGCTCTACCAAATGCCACTTTCAATGTATAGATTCCTAAAGCCTGGAGGGAAAAATCAAAATTGTTTCAATTGGACATTAGTATAATAGTGCCCTTCAATTATTACTTCACATTGGTGCCAAGGGTGTTAGCATGTTCATTGTTCTCCAACAATGCAAGGGTGTTCTCTGTGCCTCCCACAGGAAGAGTATTCCTTGCAAACCAAAAAGATGAGGTTTAGAGACAAAATAAAAACTGGTTCCATGACACCCTGTAGACTAAAAAGCAGCCAAGATATTCCCTGGTGTGGCTAACCTCATTTTATTTCCCACAGCCACAAGAAAGTCTAACGGCAATGGGGTACCTATCATGTTAATTTTTGCTTCAAGGAGAGCTTGTGTTTGCCGCTTTGTCTTTAATGAGACATCCTTGCCAAGCAGGCATTCACAAGGCATTTTCTCCTCCTGCAGAGGAGTAATTAGGTCGGTGCCTCGTTCCATGCCAATGTTAGCCACTCCAAAAACCCAACCCTGCCCAGTCATTAATGCTTAAACACAAGCAGCAACATCTCCGCTAATTGGTCTTGATGAAGTTCTGACGTTCCCAAAGGGCCTCTTCATTTCACCAAACTCAGGAACGGGATTGACACAGGATGACAATATCATCCTCACTGATCATCTGCATTGTGGGGCTTTTCTGTTCTCTTTGTTGTCATTATTTATTACAGAAAGGAAAAAAATAGCTATTGGAAAAAAATTGACGCAATGAAAATGCCTATCAAAAAAGCCACATAATAGTCAGCCGAACTGCTTTTGAAATCTTACACAAAAGCTGGCAAAAGATATGTTCTAAGAAACAAACCAGCAGAACTTCTCTCACATGCAATAACTCTGGCTCCAGCATTCATATAATCACGCACTTCTGTGCTGACTATTTAGTCAGTCAACGCTGGCCTTATGGGTCCCAAGCTGAGGTGGATGATCCTGCTTTCAGAGGACAGCAAGCTAGCCCATGAATGGTGAGCCCCCCCCCATCTCCACAAGCAAAGGGATCTCCCCACCTCAAAGCAATAACGTGCACTCATTTGACTTCTCTGATACGGGGCATCTTGTTCTGGAGTGTTGTGTGCAGTGGAAAGGGGGAGCAACACTAGTGCTGCTTTAGCATGTCGACTGCAAAATGAAGGGGAAGGGGAGGAAAAGAAAGACCTATTCATAAACCACAAGCTGGAAACAGAACATACTACCAACTTTGTTGTACATTTTACGCACGGCCTGGGAAAAGCCCCATAGACAAAACATCATCTCCTCATTTATTTTCTTTTTGCTTTGCTTTTTAACAGATCTAACGTATCCCTCTTGGGATCCTGCGCACTGAAAAATTGCTTTTGTGCCCCACATCAGGGATTTTCGAACCACTGGCCAGGCTCATCAGGCTACATCAGCTCCCTAAAGAATATAGGTGTTGCCAGATAATTAATTAGTCATTTAAATATGGACACGCCGTATTAGGAATTGGAGCCCAGTTACTGGCTATGGACAGAACCCCCTGAGCTCTTAACTCCATTTCAAGTTCTTCTCTTTGCTTTGATTCTATTCAGTAAAATGCTGCCCCAGAAGAGCCTGTCATTTCTCAGAGCCTCATCCAGATGTTTGTCAGGCTCTGCCGGCAGGGTTATTCAGTATTAGTATTATTTGCTTTTTTACAAGACCCAAAGTTGTGTAGGAATCCCACACTGCATATAAATCACCTAAGGTCCCTTCCTGGAAGAGTATACATTAATGTCCACTGTTCATTCACCACAGGGAAGAGGGCATTTGCTTTTAGAACAGTGTGCACAAGATGGGGAGAACAGGGGACGCTGGATTTCATCAGTGCTCTTGCTCTTTATTTAGGTTCAGGTCTGTGAGGCTGAGAGAGGAATGGCGGAGAAGAAGAATTAAAATGACAGTCCTAATAAAAATGATTGGCCAAACCCTCCCCTCCTTACTCACTTAGGGACAAACTATGACTGGCCCATATATGAGAATGCACTGCAGGGGGAATCACATAAGGAGTCCTCGCTTCCCACATAAGGACCTGGCAGAATTCCACTTCTACTCCCTCTATATTCCCCTAGGGGCACATAATGCTCCAAAGACAGGTGAGAGTAAACCATGGGGAAGCAGGACCATGGAGTGTAATAGCCTTGTGAGTCAAACACGGCTCTGCACCACCCCTAATTTTGGGCTGTATGTACAAGATGTGACTGAGGTCTTCATTATTATTATTTATTAACAATATTGTCCAGGTAAAGGGGCATTCGGGGAAGAGTTGGCAGCCCGACTTCCCGATTCTGGAGTTCAAGCCCAAGCCCTGTAGAGTTTGGGTTCCCAATACTGAGGGGAAGGTTTAGTTATTATTATTATTAGTAGTAGTTTTAAGTTTCTTTTATCATCATTTGTGGTTGAAAATTTCAGTGAAAATAATTTTGCTAATGTTACATTTTGTAAAATCAGTGCTATTAATACAGGTTTGGGGGGACAAATATTTTTAAACACTACACAATGCTTACATTTGGGACCTAAAACTATTTGACAATTCCTTTTTAGTACAGGGCTTATTTCATAAGTTCCTCTTATTGCCATAAAATTCAAAGAAAGACACTTCCTTACTCTTCAGGTCAAAATAAACAAAGATGATGAGTAAATAAGGGTTCGGGCTAAGAGGTCTTTGCTCTACTGTCTGAAAAGCCTCCCAAAGTAGCATTGTAACCCAGTGGTATGCTGAAAAGCTGACCAATAGGAAATGGGGCACTTGCTCTTTATACTACCTTTGCAAATATTGCACTGCAATGTTGCAGAACACCATTGAGCAATCCATGTTGTCAGAAGCTGTCATACCCTTCCAGATGTTGAGCTGCATGCTGGTGCTTCTAGGAATGAGTACACCTATTACATGGGAAGAGGGCCATGGGTTTGATGGTATGTCTGATGATTTAACTGAGCTTCCATCAGAGCTCATAGCACTGGTTTAATCTACTATTAAATCAAGAGATGGGCCCGTCCCCTGAAGATTGGATCCAGATCCAAACTTTCTCTAAATTCTGGAGTCTTTATGTGAGAGCTTGCTTTTGGTTCAACCCTTTTTAGAGACAGGAAAGAACTGCACACATAAACTTAGCTATCAATCCATCAATCAAACTATTTATATCATTCTGATCACTGTAGTATTGGGGAGAGAGAGAGAGAGAATGTCTTCTGACATTCCAAATAATATAGCTGCTTCAATCAAATTCCATTTAAAACACAATCCAAATATAGAATTATCCCTCAAAATTACACTGGTGCGGAGGTGCAGAATAGGCAATATTCAATCTTGGACAAGTGACAGGTTTAAGACCCTACTTCCTGCTACCCTTTGAGGACTAGAAATGAAAGCTATAAATCACTGGACAGCGAGC